GGATGGATGGATGGATGGATGGATGGATGGATGGATGGATGGATGGATGGATGGATGGATGGATGGGTTAGATAGATGGACAAGGTAGATAGATGGATGGATGGATAGATGGATATGATAGATGGATAAGATAGATAGATATGATGGATATGGTAGGTAGATAGATAGATATAGATATATAGAGAGACAGAGAGAAACAGAAAGCAAAGCTGCAGGAGAAATGCATCCCCCAAACAGACTGCAGAAGATCAACACAAATAACAAATCTTCTTTGTCTGAAAGACATGCAATATAATTATAATTCTAATGCTGGAAGCATACCTCATCTATGTTTACAATGCTTGCAATGTATAAAACAATGCTCCTGAACTAAATTGGAGCAGAGAGAGAAATTAATCTGCACCCACCTTTTTGAGAGGCACAGTACTTCTGAACCAGCTATAGTCTGGAGAGATTTTAATCTCTCCCATGATGGTGACAAATTCCAAGGTAAGGAAAACCTGAAATACATAGAGAAAGCATTTCAAGATGAAAAATTCAGCATCGCAGAAAAGACAGAGAAGAAGCAAGAGACTCCCGCAGGATAAATATTTCTAATCCTGTCGTTCTGTTATGCTTGCTGTCCAAAATGTTTTGCTTTATAAAAGCAGTGGGAAATGTTTAGAAGAGATGCAGTCAGAGACTAAAACGCGGAAATTTAAAGTGGGAAGTATTCTGATCTATTCTTTAACCCAACAAGGTAGAATTAAAAATCCAAAGAATTTGGGAGCAATCTTTTTCCAGCTAACAAGTTTTATTATAAACTTTCATGACGAAAGCTCTGCCTTTCGACTAAATATGTTAGCCGAGAAAGGTGCAACCATACTCCTGATTCCCCTCCCCCCACGGCAATCATTCTGGCTAGGGAATTCTGGGAGTTGAAATCCACCCATCTTAAAATGTTTTTGAGGCTGAGAAACAGTTCAATAGATTAATACAGCTCTCCTTCTATAGCTCAAGTTATAAGACCACCTACATTTCTCCTTCTAGCTACAAAATTAAAACGGAGGCAGGCGTGTGTAACAGAAACTGAAATACTGAAGCCCATGGATACACGCCAAGCCTGACTCATACAACTGCAAGCAGGATGGCACTGTGCAGACTTTAAAAAGGAATCAAAATTTCAGAGGAGCTACATTGTACCAGGAATTGCACATCTGATGGATTTCCCCAAGATTACAGCTCCATGAGTCACAGAGGATACACCACCAACTTTCAGGATGTTTCAGGATGTTTTCAAGAATGGGCTGCCTAGGATGACACAAGATCTCCTGACTGGAGCAAGGGGTTGGACTAGATGATGTCCAAGGTCCTTTCCAGCCCTATTAGTCTATGATTACATATTCAGAAATGAACAAAGAATATAGAATCATAGGGATGGAAGGGACCCCAGAGGTCTTAGTATTCCAATATTTCGAGGGGCTGCCACAAAGAAGAGGAGGGGGGGGTCAACTTATTTTCCAAAGCACCAGAATGCAAGATAAGAAACAAGGGATGGAAACTAATCAAGGAGAGAAGCAACCTGGAATTGAGGAGAAATTTCCTAACAGTGAGGACAATTAGCCAGTGGAACATCTTGCCTTCAAAAGTTGTGGTTGCTCCATCACTGGAGGCTTTTAAGAAGAGACTGGACAGCCACTGGTCTAAAATGATACAGGATTTTCTGCTTGAGCAGGGGGTTGGACTAGAAGACCTCCAAGGTCCCTTCCAACTCTATTCCTATTGATTTACTTTCTGATTGAACCTCTTGCTCGAGGCAGGAATCCTTTATACCATCCTGGTCAAATGGTTGTGTAGTCCATTTCTGAAAACCTCCAGTGATGGAGCACCCACAACTCTGGGAGGCAAACCGTTGCATTGATTAATTGTTCTCATTGTTGGAAAATTTATCCTTAGTTCTCCTTAGGTTTGTTGTGGAGATGCTCTTTTGGATATCTGAAGCTCCAAAAATCCGGTTGTCAGGCCTGCAGCCATCTTTTCTTTTGGCTCTTTGGCCTGTCACACTTTCTATTATTCTACTATGCATTTTCTATTGTGGGGAAATGGGAAGGGGGAATTGTATGGAGTTAGATGATATGTAGCCATAACAAAATTCTTTCTAGAAACCAAGGTCATCTTTTGCTTTTGCACTTCTGCACCTGACCGGAACCGGATGGGTGGAAGCTGCCAACATCGCAGTGGGAGATTGGACCATGTGATGGACTTGTGGGTGTGGGGGCAAGATCTTGAACTTTCAACTGGATGGAGAAAACCGGGAAGCATTCAAATCCGGGTTTCCCCAGATGTGACAAACATGGCTGTCTTCATAAATTGGAACATTGAGCAATACTTTGCCTCGGACTCTGATTTACTTTTGGATGCTATTTGGAACCCTGACACCGGTTTTGTTTTAAAGCTGTGTTACTAAAGCTCAGGAGCCTGCAATGAAAATAATTCAATCACACTGACTACCCCTTAGATCAGTGTTTCTCAACCGTAGCAACTTGAAGATGTCTGGACTTCAACTCCCAGAATTCCCCAGCCAGCGAATGCTGGCTGGGGAATTCTGGGAGTTGAAGTCCGGACATCTTCNGCCTGAGCCTTGGACCAGTGGGGAGGAGACAAGGGAGAGTGATCCAGAAGCCAGCAGTGAGTTGTTCCTGGATGCCCGGCACCGAAGAGCTAATAGGCGTCAGGAACAGTTGCGCAAGTACAGGAGATAATTGCACTCAACTGGTAGTCATTAGGCTCCTCTCCAGACTATAAAAAGTCTGCTTGTGCACACGCCCCTCTTGCAGAAGTAAACACAGGAACTAATGTGAGCTTGGAATTGTGAGCTTGGCAGGCTGGATTGCTGCCACGACTTATCTGTGTTGGTTTGCTGCCAAGGACCTGTCTGTCAATTAAATGCCGTAACTTAGCTTTGGCTCTGAGTGTGGGTGAGGGACGAAGGGGGTCAGAACAGCTATGTAATAGTATACATGTGATTATATGTTATGAAAATGAAAAATAAAAAACTTTATGGAAAAAAAAAATTGCCAACGCGTGCTGACAAATAATTGCTTGATGGACAGCCTGTGCTATCCTTCCCAACCTGGTACGGCCAAGCACATGGGAGCGGCAGTCGGAACAAAGCCTAAAGACCCAAGGATGAGAAAGATGGAACAGGTAGTCCTTGACTTACAACAGTTCGTTTAGTGACCATTCAAAGTTACAACGGCACTCTAAAAAAAGTGACTTATGACCAGTTTTTCAGACTTACAACCACTGCAGCATCTCCAGGATTAGGCGATCAAAATTCAGGCGTTTGGCTACTGACTCATATTTACGACGGCTGCGGCGTCCCAGAGTCACGCGATCCCCTTTTGCGACCTTCTGATAAGCAAAGTCAATGGGGAAGCCAGATTCGCTTAACAACCGTGTTACTGACTTAACATCTGCAGTGATTCACTTAGCAACGGTGGCAAGAAAGGTCATAAAATGGGGTGAGACTCACTTAACAACCATCTCATTTAACAACAAATTTTGAGCTCAATTGTGGTCGTACAATTGAACTCCTACAAGACAGGAATGTCTCCATTCAGAGAGAGGCTCCCAAGAGGCTCCATTCAGTTGACATCAGTATTACTATATTTTGCGTAGGATAAGAGAACTTTCATTTAATTCCTCCCACTTGCTTCCCAAAGGAAATTAGACAAAAAGGAACCTTGTTTGCTTCTATTATCTTCCTCTTGATGAATATAAAAACAACCCTCCCGTTTTAAAATTAAATTATTTGGGGAAGAGGCTGGTCATCTTTTTCAAATAGAGACAAAAAAAAAAAAAAGACAGCGGACACATGTCACTTCCGTCTAATCTGGAGGAAACAGTGAAGTTGTGAAATAAAAATCAACTGCTTTTATTACTGAAAACCACAATTTTGCCCATTCAGGTCACACCAACTTGCCAATCCTAAAAGCAATCCACCATCTCTAGACAGTATCATATTATCTCACGACGTTCTGTAACACAAGGCACGAAAAATTAAATCATTACGACCTACAGTGTGCTTTTCCAACGTTGGGTTTGCAACGGTGTTTTGAGGATTTATTGACTTCTTTGCATCTGGCCACAATGACATATCAAGTTTCTTTTATCCTGCATTGTTTTTTTCCTCAAACAACTGCAATTCAACAACAACAAAAACTAACGTAACCAACTGAAGCTTCACTTCCGCTTGCTCTTAGAAACTGGTGATCATCACATGAGCACTGAAACCATTCCACTTTGAAAGCGAAGATATTAAGAAACAAACAGGCTTGAAATAGTAATCCAATTTTTCCCCCAGCTGCCGAACTGTGCACTGGCAAATCATAAGTCTAAAGGCATAAGAAGGTTTCACCCTCCAGGGTAGGTTAGAAAAGTCCGACTTCCTTTTCACTGAACAAGGAAGTCACAAGCTCAATGGACATTTCTTCTCAACCTCAAACAGTTTCAGCAGAAACGCCACCAGAAACTTAATTTTCATCCTCGGTAGAGAGCAATTCTACAAATATGCCCCATTTGTAATTTTTTTTTAAAGTACCGTATTTTTCAGACTATAAGATGCACCATGATTTTGAAGAGGTGCCTTGGAGAATAGTTTGACTCCCTCTTCTTTGTGGCAATTCCTGAGATATTGGAAGATTGCTATCATGTCTCCCCATGTCCTTCTTTTCATTAAACTAGACATGCTTAATTCCTGCAAGTGTTCTTCATCATATTTTAGCCTCCAGTCCCTTAATCCTCCTTGTTGCTTTTCTCCAAAACAAACTCCTCTAAAAAGCGAGTCAAGGATAATATGGCCCAATATAAATTAAGCAGCAGCTGCCAAGAAAGATATGGAGGTAAATAGCAAATCAAATGTCTTTTTGTCATGCAAAGACAAGTATTTGCTTAACTATCTGAACTGAATCAGATCTTGCTCCACAGTTAGCTTACTGCTAAATCCAAATCCCAAATCCATGTTTGCTCCTCTCTGAATTACAATTATTAGCCAAGAACAAACAAGGGAGAGTCCAAACGGGAGGCTAATCATATGAAGATCATGTGGCACACAGGGGTTTTGCCCTTCACTTTAGATATGTTTTCCGAGATTCTGTCAAGTGAGAAATATAGAGAAATGCGGCTATTTCTCAGACAGGATATACAAATAAGTCTCAAAGGTTCTGGAAACAAAACCAAAAAGAATTGCAAATGTTCAGGTTATATGAGCACAGAATACTTGAGACCTTTTTGGTACAATGTGCTGAAGTCCCCTATTTCATTAATTATGCCACAGTATTAGCTGCTAGCTGTCGTGTCTCTGGAAACCTGGGAGCGTCCTTATCTCGCTCAATCAGGATAAATTAAAATGTTCAGGCGAGCGACTGTTTGAACAGGTACGGCAAAATAGAAGCTGGCACCTTTCTTGTGTTGTTGAGCTAGTTCTACAGATCAGATATTTTACCTAAAATCCAACTGA